GAATACACTGATAACTGGATTTATTAAAGCCCCACCACCAGTTCAGTTGCTGTGATAATTATTGCACTTGTATGACAGGACCTCTCAGTCCCCTGGGCACTGTGCCAAGTGATGCATATAGGCCCTCCATAGGTGTTTTTCCTAAGACTTGGTTCTACAGCACTGATGAACTGTGGGTGATCTCAGACGGAAATGAGGAGGCAGAACTGCAGAGTTTAGAGTAACTGAAAGATAACCAGGAAATCCAGACTCTCACAAGTTTCAGTCTTAATGATCACATTTAGATAGTTCACACATTCTCCTTAAAGCAAAACGGGAAAAAGAAATTGCAAAACATTTGTGATCATTATGTTAAATGTCAGTGTGGCAAGAAGTGAAACCAGAGCAGAACAAGGTGGTTTTGGAGGCCACAATGGGGCAGCTACAGGCTGGCCCAGGGCAATCTGGCTTCCCTTCATGTGGGGGCTCTCATTGAGAGCCTGTACCAGCCTACCCTCTTGCTGCTGATGGGATCTGACAAGGTCGCAGCTCATGCAGCCTGGCTCCAGATGAATGCCCTAAGGAGCTAGCAGGACTCCCTCTCTTCCGCCAGACACTTCTTCATGTCACCTTTGGCACAAGAGCTTTCTTCCTTGCAATTGCTGCTCCTAAACAGAGCAGTCGAACCCTTTTGTCCTATATCTGCCTCTTTATCACTCTGAATGGTTTAGGGGAGACACAGCTTGGATGGAGGATTCCATGTGCAGGAACATTCATGCTGCATGGATAACTTCAAGGACAGTGGTACTTGTCTTTAGCTGCACTACACAGGCTAAGAGAGAAGGGTTGCTCTGTTTGCTATTGACACAGAGAGCATTACATATACAAGATGGATGTAACAGTCAGCATTTCGCTGTCTCTTCTTAAACCCTACAGGTCCTCTTTCTGAGAGGTCACAATATTCTCAGTAGACAGAGAGGAGGTTATATGGGGAAGCTGGCAAAGCACATGTTCCTGAGAGCTGGAGAGAGGCCTGGCCAGAATACTCCTTCAAAGAGCAGCCTCACTGCTAAAGAAGATGATGTTCTAAGTACCTTTTCTTTCTAAGATGGCATTTTCTTAAGACAATGCTTGTTAACACATGGGCATCCAGCTTACTGTTATCTGTAAAGACAGCACATCACTCATGGTCAGCATCATCCACGTCAGCTGAACCATTTTCCTTGTCTCAGACAAGAGTCTCTGGACAGATTCTCCCGGACATCTGGCCATGTTTCCCTCTCACGGGAACTCCTCCTTCTCCTAACTGCAGGGAGCATGGGAAGGGCAAACCAAGCTATTGAGAAACCTAATCCAGCCATATACAAGCCCTTCCCACCCAGCAGAACCTGGGGTCCCTGGGGACAGAGATCTCTGGATGATGCATCCACGCAGCTACAACAGAGAGCCCAAAGCTGGTGAGAACTGTATGTGCAACCAAAAATCAGGCTAGTCCTGTACCTGCTGCACCCATGAAACAGGCAAGCTCCACACTGCAAAGTTGCATTCACAGTCAAGTCCTTTCAGTTGCTCTCCTTACCCATGTTCCCTCCCAGCAGATGCTTATGCATATGACTTTACACTGGGACTAAGAAGCCATTAGATGGCCAAAGCACAGCAAATTCAGCTGAGTGTCTTGTGGCCAGTAAAGGGCTACACTCTGTAGACTCCCTGATGGTTTTGTGGAGTAGTCAGGCACTTTCCACTTGCATCAAGTAGTCAGCAGTCAGAGCAAAGCTGTCAGAGCAAAAGAAACCTGGCAGAGGTACTTGCTCCCCACCTCAGTTTGGGGCCAAGAAAGCAGCTCAGGTGCATTCATGGTGGCAACTCCAGTAGCCTTAGTACTCCTTCACAGCCTGGGCTCTGAGGCTCCTTCCTGATCTGCATGTACCCCCAGGAGAGATGGATCCTCTCCCTAGCTCCATGGCAGATGTCCCAGGCCACAGAGAAGAGAAGGGCTGTGGCCAGGGAAGGATGAGGAACATGGGGAATAGTAAGTGAAGACCGTGACAGCTGTAGAGATGACAATTCCAATCACCACAGCCATGCAGGACATGAAGACAGAATTACCCCGCCTTTCTCTCCCCATGTCAGAAAGCTTAAGAACTTCAGGGGATTTATTTTACAACACAGATGAAAAGCTTTGGATTTCATCACAAGAGCAATGAGGAAAACTGTTTAACGCTTAAAATGCCAGCATTTCTAGGCCAGTGGCACATGAGGAGGAGAACAGCATCTCTGACTCCACTGGATGCTGCTCCTTAGTGCAGACTGACTATTGGGACCATGCTAACTGGTCACTCCAACTGGAGTGCAGAAGGACAGGATGGGAGAAGTATCTCCTTTAACTCTGTCCATGACATTCCTGCTCCGAAGGGGAGAATTGGAGAGCGAGTCACATCCTCTGTGTCAACCCCACATCCTGCCCACACTCCAGACACACAGGGAAACCATGATCTGTCACCATGCCACAGCCCTGGCCTCCGGGGCCCCTCCTCACTGCCTGGGCACAGGACTTGCAGCAGCCAAGCAAGGAGATGGTGGAGCACACACACATGGCTCCTGCACTCACATCCGGCTGGAGCAAAGGCATCATCTGTCACATCTCTGAGCCATGCCGCACAGCAGACCTCCAATGGCAGAGGCACACACACATTTTTGTGCTGTACCACTCGCTGAGGATGAAAGTTTTCTAACCTGGCCGGCTTAGGACGCTGCAGAAGAGCAGTAGCAGCAGCACACACCCCAGCAGCTCACTGTCCCTGTGGTCTATGGGCAGAGGAGGGCACAGCACATGGCAAACCTTTCCACAGTGTCAAGCTGGCACAACTGGCCAAAACTATTCCTCCCTTGGCAGAACCAGGATGACAAGTAAGTTGAACCCTTCACAAAGCCATTTTGGTCCTCCAGCATGTCAAAGGGAGAACTAAGGGGGTTGTGAAGACTCATGGCATCCCCACCTAACCCCAGATACTGGATCCCATAGCTGAGTATGATAATCTAAATGCTAAGCACAGCATGGGAGCCTGCTAAGGCAAGACCAACAGCACAGGGGTTTAAGCTATTCACTGTAAAACATGACATGCATCCCCTGGGACAAGCTCATCTTCTGCTGCTGGAGAAAGAAGCGAAGCAACTCCCTCTACTCAGGCTTTCCCTCCCACCAAGAACCCCCCATGGAGAAGGAGGAAGAGTGGCTGGGGTGCAGCAAATGCCAAACATTCCAGCTCTGGGGAAGCCACATTCCCTCTCTCCCACCCCCACTGCCTTTCCTGCAAAGCAAAGTCTGATGCTTTCCTGCACATGCTCACCCCAGTTCTCCAGTCTTGCCTACCTTGCTTCATCAGGATATAAGTCTGGTTTACAAGAGATGTTTGACTCTTAGAGAGACTCTAGCTCCAGGACTGCCCCTCAGCCCTTCCCTGGAAATCCCTGTTTCTTCAGATAATGGCAGAATCATGCCTGGACAGGTGGAGCTGGACAAAATAGGCAGTTCTCTGATGGGTGCTATTTGCTGAGACGGGCACTTCTGGGTATCCCCTTTCCAGCCTCCCACTCCCATCCCATCGGTTCCTTCAGGCTCCTCAGTGGCTGCTCCTGTTGCAAGAAGCCAGAAGGCTCCTCCTGACAGAGGGGTGGGCATAAAGGCTCTGGTGAAATGGCCCTTTGGGAAACCCCGGCCTTCATCTGATTAGATACAGACGGCCCAGACTTCCAGGAGCAGCAGGTTAATCAGTTAATGGCTGAAGGATGCTGGGCGATGCGCTGCCGCATGCTGCGGGGCAGCCCCAGCCGCACAGCCCGGGGGCAGCCACTCCTTCCTCTCTGGGGCCAGATCTGGGAAAACAATCTGTTCTGATAAAGAAAGTGTGCTTCACCAGGGAGGGGGCAGGCTCAAGCCCATCAGCTGCTCCAGCCCAGCGACCACGGGCTGCTCCGGAGCGCTGCTAGCTCCCCTTCTGCACCCATAACTCGCAGGGCCAGACACCGGGGTTAATGGCCTGGAAAGCATCTGGGGGCTGGAGGGGGCAGATGTGTCATGCCCCAGGCAGGAGGCTTTCAGACCTCGAGAAGACCCCGTCACCCCATAGTGCCTACCGTGCCCACTGCCAGTGCCACGGGCACCCACTGTCACCCATGGGTCCAGAAAGGGCGGCCCCGGCCTTGCGCCCACCTGCCCCTCACAACCAAAGGCATCACCAAGCTGGGCTGGAAACCTATGTATGATCAGGCAAGAAAAACGGCACAGAGAATTTCGGGGCATCTGGGCTGTGCCCCGCGCCATCAGTCACTCGCCCCCCATGGCAGCCCCATGCCCGCAGGGCTGTGCGCTCACCCCGGGACCCGAGCCTGCGGCTAACAGGTACGGGTTCGGCCCCGGGCACGCTCTGCCCGCCAGCGTGACGGTGACCGGGCAGCGGCAGCGAGGGCAGGGGACTCCCGCCACACGCTGCCCGCCTGCTCACCGGCCCGGTGCCCCGGAGACCAGCCGCTCTGTGACACGCACACGCAGGCAGGAGCAGGCTCCGGACCCTGAAGTCGTTCCAGAGGATTAAGGAGCCGGCTCTGGGCAGCCATAACTATCATGCGACAAACACTCTCCTCCTGCAAGCAGCCCTCGGTCCGCATTGCCGGCACCGCACATCGGCCGGGCTCCGGCTCCCGCAGCCCCTTCAACCCCTCTCACGGGTTGCGCGGTGCCGAGCCGGGCTGGGGAGCGCTCGGGGACAAAACCCTCCGCATCCCATCGCTCCACAGAAAGTGCAACCGAGACCGCCTCGGCGAGGGGGCAGAGGGGCCGCAGCGCGGCCCGCGGGGAGCGCAGCTTCCCACGGCCCCGGGGGCGCTCCTGGCCCGGGGCACGGCACCCCGATGCCCGTCTCGCCCCGAGACCCAATCCTGCCTCCTCCGCCCGGCACCCGCCACTCTCAGCCCCGAGCAGGGGCCAGCCCCGCTGCCGTGCCCGTCCCGCCGCTGCCCACCTGGCGCAGAGAGGCGTCCATCGGCGGAGACGCCCGCGGAAGCGCTGCCGCCGGCTCTCAGCGCCGCATCGCCGCGGCCGGGCGGGCACGGCTCGCCGGCCCCGCGCCGCGCTGGCTCCGCCTCGCCGACCGCGGGCAGCGGGAGCGGCCGGGCCGCCCGCTCCGCCCCGCTCCTCCCGCCTCGGGGCGCGGGGAGTGCAGCTCCTGCGGCTCCGGCGGCAGCGGCGGGGCTGTGCCGATGCCGGAGCGTTTAGGAGCGGGATGAGACTGGCTGGGAAGAGGAGCGCATCTCGAGAGGAGGGTGCTGAGACGGATTGGGGTGGGGGAGGCCCGAGCGGTCGGTGCCATCCAGAGACACGCGGCGGGGACGGGGGACCACTGCTGTACACAGCCACAGTAACCAAGTGCTGTCCTTTGTAAGGGCAATTGATATCATCCTGAATAGCAAACATTTCGGGTTTGGGGTTCCTTCAGCAGACCATCATAGCATGATGCAGTGAGAGAGACCGTTAACAAGAGTCCTGATAGAGCTTCGAAATGATGTCTCTGACATCTGGAACAGGTGGCAAAGAGCAATACTCTGGGCAAAGTTTCTCCAGATCATAGTTCAAAGATAGAACTTGATCACACATCCAAGTGTGGCCAGATCATAGTTCACAAGTGCTCTGTGAAGGTGTTTCTTTCCATCAGAAATTATTCTGAAAGAGAGGAAATCTAATGGAGGGTTGTGGGGGAAAGTTTTTTTAGTTTATTATTATTATTATTTTGGTTAATAATTGAAGAGTTTTTAACTACTTAAAACACAGAGGGGATTCTGACGTAGATGGCAGTATCTTGTCCGACATCCACCACTGTACAGTCACACCGAGGCCACTGTCTAACCTGTGATGACCACCCCCACCACTCTCTCACCATCACTATCTGGCCCTTTTAGTAGTTTCCTGATATATGAGTCACTGTCAATGTATCCTTCCATTTTGATACCAAATTATTGAGAGCTGTCCTGAGCGTGACTATCCAGGCTCTTTTCTACTTATGCTGGATTAGTTTAATCTACACCACTTTCCCTGTTTTACGAAAACATCCTGCAAGACGGTGCCAGAAGCCTTACTGCAGTTCTTATCTCCTATCTAATACTTCTATCCGCCAGGCCAATCACTGTGTCAGAGAAAGGGATTAAATCTACTCACAGTGTCCTTGACAGCCCTCCTTATAGCCACATATTTATTACCAGGTTGTTTCTGCCACAGACCGCTTCCTCCTCACGGGAGGAGAGGGGATTCCTGCTGATACTGTTTCTGCAGACAATTTTGGCTGTTAAGCTTCTCAGTTTTGGCTGGTCACCAGGGGGCCGTGGAGCTCCTCATAACCACGGGAAAGTTGGAGTACACTTCTCTCTCCTCCACCTGCCTGCCGGCCAGCAGCCTCCACCACCAGACATCCTCTCCCAGATTTCTCCAAGAAACTTCGGCCATGGTTGCTGTCATCCAGGGTAAAAGGGAAGGATACTACATTTCAAAAGGGCAAAGTTTTTAGCATTAACAGTATTGTTGACTGACACTTTCCAAGAGGGAAGTAGAAGGCGCCTTGATCAAGTCCTTAGAACAAAGTAATTTTCCATCTCTCAGTCAATTAACACTGGATTCCCCAAATGGAGCATCAGTGACTGAAGCTGTAAGCCCTGTACTCTATCAGCCTAGTAGGAAAGGTGGCAAGAATCTTGACAAGAAACGTACACCTGAAATTTGTTCCTTTCATTTAATTAAAGCACTAGTCCTGCATTTGTACAGCCCACTTGGAAACTGCAATATCTGAACTGTTTCCTAGCTGGCTTTAGGTGCTGCTCCTGAGAAGGGGTGACTGTGACCACCTGCTTCTTCACAGAAGAATGGTAAGCAGGTGATTGCTGACTCGCTATCACATGAGCCCCACTGTGCAGGAGAAGCCTGGGACCTCTCTCCAGTCCATCAGCCCCCCACTCCTTACCCTACAATCTCGGGGCTGCCTCCTTCCCCAGACCTGGCACAGTAGTGCTGACTGTGAGTTTGGCAGCAACGTCAGCAACCCAACAAGCTTCCAACCCTGCTCTCAGCCCAGCTGCAGACAGCACAAGAACCAGGATGCCATGGCTGTTCTCTGCTTGTCAGCAGAGTGCTGGGCTCTGGGAGAGGACAGCCAGGGCAGGCAGGTGCTGGTGAGTCTGAGCAGTGAGCTATCCCTGCATCCATGAAAGGAGCAACTCTGGTGCTGCAGGCAGCAGGGCCCCGCACCCAGCCATGGCAGTAGCAGACAGTGAGTCAGCTTCCTGCTGGGCTTTCCACACCGAGGGAAGGTCGGCAGAGGACTGGCAGAAACAAGCTGAGGCAGGAATTCCTCTTGGACCCCAGACAATATCTTAATTTCCTCTTCTGCCACGGGTCTGGCACATTGCTGGGAGGCAGGCAAGCCTGCATGCCCTGCTGTGGGTGGGAAGCATCTGACAGACTTGCTCTCCCATTGCCTGCGAGGGGTCGAGCTGTGCCACCTTGGCTGCAACTCCCACTTCCTCAGTGGCTCATCAGAACTGTGGTCATAGGGTGGAGGGCTGATTTCCTCCACTGTCATTCCTGGGATGATCTCATTTGGGAGAGTCAGCAGCAGAGGCAGGATACTTTGGACCAGACGAAGGCACAGGTGGAGAAGGAGGGAACCTGTGCTCTGCTATGCATTGCTACCATCACCTGGCCCACTGCCAGGCCCTGCTGCTTCACTGAGGCAACCAAATCCCCCCTTGCCCAAAGCACGGGACAGCCAGGAATGTGTTCACCAAAGATGGAGAACTACTGAGAACAGCAGCCAAAAATCAGGCATGCCACCCATTGCCAGACCCTAGCAGACCACCAGAGGCTGAGGCACTCTCTTAACTCAGGCTGCATGCATGCAAGAGGAAGTGGACACACAGAACATGCATTAGGGTGCAAACTGATCCCACAGTTCTGGCCCTCTCCTTGTTCTAGTTTCACAATTCCTTGAAATCAGCTTATAAATCAACACTTGAAAAGGGCAGGTCCTCCCTCTCCCATTCCCAGACTGTGGGTAGCCCAGCCACACCTCAGACTTGGTCAGTCTGGCCAGGCCAGCTCAGGCTTGGGCTGCTTGAACTCAGCTCATTAAGCTGTGGACCCCTCCTCCAGCCCCATCCTCTGCAAAGTGACGATGGTGATGATCAAAGCTCTCCCTGCCCGAGGCTGCTCTGAGGCTCTATGACAGGAATTAGCCCAAGATCCTTGGGGACAGGATCATGTTTGTACCAGATGTGTCCCTGTTCCAGAGGAATGTGATTAAGGATGTCTGGAGAGGTTTTCACAGGGTCACACCAAGCACTGCGGCACCTGCTTCCCCAGAGAGCAGGAGCATGAGGAGGGGTCCTCCTTCTAAGGGAGGATGGTGTGGGCTGGGGAGGGTTTATTTGTCCTGGGCACCCTGCTGGCTTCGGTATCACTTCAGCCACCAGCACTGAGCCCGTCTCACTGCAATGCACAGTGCTGCCTCTGCACACTACAGAACTCAGGCCAAGGGCAGCTACACCCTTTCTCAGTCTGACCGCAGTGGGAAAAGCTTCTTATCCCATCCAGGCACAGAAATGCCCTCCAGGGCTGCCCTTTCTCTGTAGGTCAGGAAAACAGGATGTCGTCTTCATTTTCAGCCTGAGCACAAAAGCAGATCACTGGAGCAGATGGACCCAGAGGGTGGATGCTGGGCACATCCACCCCCCTGTGACCATGTGCCACCCCGTGGCCTCTGAAGCACCCTCCTGAGCTGCATCACTGGAGCCAGCACTACAGCTGGGACTTTCTATCAGCCCATCAGCACTTGGCCGTGTTGACGAACCAAACCCATCATCAGGTATCTCCAGCTTTCTCTGCAGATAGCAGTCCTTGTTCCTTCAGCCCAACCCTTCCTTCCTTTCCCTTCCACATCCCAGGCCACACATCTAGCTCTTGGCAGTGACAAGCTGAGGTTCCCTACCACTGCTCCCTTTGTGCTGCTGCTGGTTTTCTTGGGGCCACAACGTATCTGTGTGTGGCTTTTACACCTTGGCCATGAGAAATGCAGTCTCAGTGACGAGACTTCTGAATGAGGGAGCTGAACTGCACCAGGCTATAATTACAGTACGAGCATGTGGGGAGAGGCCAGCCGAGTGCATCCACCTCATTTCCTCTTCTATTAAGTCTGCCCTGCTTTTGTTTGACCCAGACCAAACCTTGCTATTAATGGCACAATGCTGTGGAGGTCACAGATGATTGTGCTACAAGCAGCTTTGTGGATTCTGCTCGACTAAATGCATAAGCAAGGCTTTGCTTGCAGATACCATTACTATGTGATTCATGCTGTAGAAAGTATGTCAGGCAGCTGTAGTGTAGGCAATGCCCAGACTGGGCTGTTTTGCCAGGGGAGCTCTTTGTCTCCTTCACAACCAGCAACTCAAGTGAGCAAGGAGGTTAAATGGGTGTCCTATCACTACCCCTGGCTGTGGCTGAATTCTGATGATGGGTGCTGGTAGCCTGATCCATGCACATTTCCTCTTCCTGATCTTGCCTGCACATTTTCAGCTTGCAAAATCATTTTTGTGCTGAAGGAGAGAGCTCTTTTTGCTGTGCACCTGCAGCCCAACTGATGTCAATCCCTGCTGTTTTGTTGCGCTTGTCCCTTATAAGTTCCTGGAGGCAACCTGAAATGCTGTGCTCCTGGACTAGCGAAGGAAAAAATCTGGTGAGGCTGTGCTAACACCTCCAGGGCTGAAAAGTGAGTGCAGCCCCAGCTCAGAGCACCAGCATCTGGCCATCTGTCCTTGCTGAGGAAGAGAGCCTGGCACAGCAGGAGGCAGCCACGCCCCAGCCTCTCCCAGCCCCTGTGAGGTTGCTGTACTCTGTGTGCTGGAGGGGGGGACAGCCTCCAGGGGCACTGGGCTGATGGATGAAGGAAATCATCCAGCTGGGCTCCTGCAGCAGAGATCACAAGGTCCTCCCTTCTCTGCAGAAATCACGTGAGGATTAGCCTCCCGTCTTGCTCAATGACAAGATCACAT